CTTTTGCACTTCAGATTTGTTTTGTTATGACTTGTGTAACTGACCTTGCTCTGCCCCTTGTTTCTCTGCACTCAGCACATGTTAACAACTTTGACCATGTGCCTCAAACACTTTTGCAACCTTACACCTTTTTGTGTGGTCATTAACAAGTTAACAGTGAAAGTTTGTGGAATCAGGATATTTGACCAAACAGTGTAAATTTAGGGTTTTTTCTAAATAAGCTTTTGGGAAAAACCTTCAGCCCTTAACGCAGCTATAATCAAAATTATTATATTAACAATAAATAACACGACTACCTGTATCTAAAAGATAATTATAACCTGCCTTTGCACTTGCTCTTTGTGAAGCTTTATAGCGCCTTTCAGCTCATTATTTTGATTATCATTAGGCCTTCTTCTTCTTCTTTGGATTAGGCAGATTAGGCGCTACAATGGTGTATTGCTAACATACTGTTACTTTGACAGTTATTTGTGTTTTTATGTAGTCCAATACTTTGGACTGACATTCTCCTACTGTTCCCAGGTCTTTAAACAGCTTCCTCCTTTTGAAGTGAGAAATTGTACCATAATGTGTCATGTAAATTTCTTCTTGTTAAAAGGATTTTAGAAAATTACTATTGAAGAAAGTATCATTTAGGAACCGATATCAAAATCAAGGTATTGTACCATTATAGAAATTATTATTATTATTATCATTATTACACAGCCCTAATTATCAGGCCCACAACTCAACTTGTTTTTGTTCAGTCTCACTGCTCTCAAAGAATTGTTTTCAGCCTTAGCAGTCGGCTGTTTCTTAGCTGAGAAGTCCCAGAAACTGCCTGTACACTGCAGGCCCAGCACCAAATGACAGACAGTGAAAATAATGGACCATTAAGCAGTTAAAGAGCCAGATATGTCCCTCAGGAGTTGGTGGAGAACAAAACAGAGCTATAAGTAGAGTGAATATTGGACTTGCATTAATCGGGTTGAACAGAAACACAACTCCAAAAGAATTCATATGTTGCTCCATATCTGATAAATGTGTAACAGGTTTTGCTAACAAGTTTGTCATTTCAACTTTATTAAGTAAAGTAAGTAAGATGTCAGTGTTGTGATTGCAGCTTGTTTCTGCTGCCCCCAGGGTTTCAAAAAAATAAGTAATTGCAGGTTCAAAGTGTTCTATATCATATCAAAAGAGTCCCATATGGATTATTATTATTATTATTATTATTATTATTATTATTATTCCATTTTAGATCCCCATCCTCCCTTATAATTCTACCTTGTTGACTTTTATCACACTCTGTAATGCAATTTGAAATTAAAATCAGAGTGTTTTCACATGCATCAAAAGGCTTCTGTACTGAAGTCTCACCGGAGCCATGGATACATATTACTCATGTTTTTGATTTACTTATCCAAATGAGTCTTGTCAATTACCTTCCTGCTGTTTCTCTGTATTGAAATTCACCCCTGACTTTCTTTATTGTGCTCTCCCTACAACTGGGATCTGCTCAATAACAGCCAGTATGAGAGCCTGAATAATGCCAGCATGAAATTTCCTATTCATGTCACCGGAATAAAAAGTCTCTTTCACCACCTCTACTCCCCTGTTGTCATATACAAAAGCAGTGTGAGCAGGAAAGTGTAGGAATAATATTTTTTCTGATATTCTAGTTGTGCGGATATGGGGGTGTGACTCAGGGGTAAATGAAACACGCATCACTCTAGATTTATGGACCGGAGATGGCATCGGCACAGTGCGTCAACGGCTCACTGCCGATGTGGCGTGCTAGAAGATGGGAGAGGAAGATGCAGCAGACTGAAATGTGCTTTGAGTTAATGGGGTACGTACTGCTCGCACAGCAGCAGAAAGTTCTGCCACAAACAAGGAGGACACTTGATTTTGGCTCGGAGGCTTGCTTTTGATGATGTTGAAAGATTGTTTGCACTCCCTAGTTGGCAATTGGCTAGAAACATGCTGATGAGAGAGTGGAGGCCTTTTCATCTGTGTGCTATAACCATTACCTGAAATGGCTGGTTGTAAATCAAAATTTGAGCAGTTCAGGGGGGTGGGGGGGGCTGTTTGCTCGCTGACAGCAAAGTAAAGCAAGACATTAGAGTATTGAGAAATGTGTTGTGTGATTTCAGAACTATTCTGATGTGTGTTTGTTGTTTAGGTTTACTTTATTTTAATGAGTTAATATTGAACCGACCAAGCTATAAAATAGGTTTTTAAAATAATAATAAAATTCCATTTGTGTTTGATTGTTTTCTCCTCTAGCAGAGTTTTGTGTTTCTTTTTTTTTCTAATTGAGTTTTTTCCGATTAATTGCCTGTGAAAACCTATTGCTTTCCACTTCATGCTCCGATCCAATGAGAACTTGTGCTCTTTCGCAGGGAAAATGTCAAATATCCGTGCAGTCAGGAAGAGACAACAGCTGAATAACTTGGTTGCCATGGTTACGGAGCTAGCCAGGCCAGGATACACCATTGTGGATTTCTGCAGTGGAACGGTACTTGTGTTCATCCATCAGTCCGGCTATGCATGTATATTTATCACTGCACCTGACCACGACTGCATCAGACTGCCGCTCCATTAGCAGACAGCTGAAAGGAAACCAGTTCTCTCCTGTGTTTTTCTTACCTTTTTAAAATGCCTTTTGTTGTTGGCCAGTATACCAGACAGAATGTTAATGTAATTATACTGATGAAAATGCTTGCTCAGAGCTGTAGTGCTGCATGGCTAAAAGGTCAATACTTGGTTGGAGAGGGCAACAATAATCATAACTCTGCCTCTCATGTGTGCTATTTTCTGTTTGTGCCTTTTTTTTCTTTCTTTATGCTGTCTCTCAGGGCCATGTAGGGATTGCTCTGGCTCACACACTGCCAGATTGCCAGGTAACGTGTGTGTGTGTGTGTGTCTGCTAATATAAGAACCAATAGCTTAATTGATTATGATAAGGTGATTATCATTAGATGAATCCCTTCAATATTAAAAAAAAGAAGGTATGTAACTTAATGATCATATAATGGCTTTTTCAATTATTATTGTTATCACTTTTTAAAAATCTAACAATAGGCTCCCTGTAATCTTATGTATTATGTATTATCATATTATTCATTTTGAGAGCTTTCATTCATTGTTTTTTCATGTGTAGATCTCAGTGTTTTGAACATTTTTTAATGTTGCAGAGCATTTAAATTTATTATTGCTCATTCCAGGTCATTTGAAAAACTATCAATCACACACGGCTGTGTGGGTTATTTTTGTTTTCATTCAAGATCATCCTCATAGAGAACAAAGAAGAGTCCTTGGTCAGGGCCCAGAGTCGTGGTGCTGAGCTCGGTCTGAAAAACATCGGCTTCATTCAGGCCAATTTGGACTACTTCACCGGACCCTTTCACATTGGGGTGAGCATAGCAAGTAACACAATACATAAACATGTGTCTTTGCACCATCTTTGTTTCAATTCATTTGATGATTCATAGATTCTGTTGACAACATAGTAACCTTTTCAGGTGATTTAAGATATATTAAGAAGAATATTTAAGATTTTTTGATTTTTGATACAACAAAAAGTATTGCAAGCAAATGCAATGTAAAACTCATTTGGCATAGTACAAAATACCGGTTAAACCATAGCTATAAGTGAAATAATTTTTTTTAACTTCTGATTAGTCACAATATTATCTGTATATTTTTCTACAATTGTAATTTGTATAATATGGCAGCCACAGTAGCACTGATTTAATATTCATTAATTTTCAAAATACATGTAATTTGCATTGGTAAACTGTAATCAAATCACACATTTTTCAAGCCAGTCAAAAAGCTTTTCCAACTTACACAATGGCCTTGTAACAGACCATTGCAAAGATTGTCTTGCTGCATGGAAATGTAGTTAGCAAAAACATTTTGTGTACAAAAGCTTCAGAGGAAAACGTTTTGTCCATGATAATGTAGAGAATAAAACTGATGTACTCCCAGTGTCATAATGATCATCTCATTGAATTTGAAGCCATTGTAAAGAAAATGTAACAATTCCATGACATGATTACTGCGTTAAAATGCTGTAGCAAGGCTACAACGTTGGCAAGTGAGAAATTCTTCAGTTTCAAAAGTTAGTGTGATGTTTGAAAGCATTGCTGTTTAAACAGTTGCCATCATTTGACCGTTGTTGTGACTCTAAAGTGTATATATAGTACTCATATTTACTTTTTTTTTACATTGAGGTGCAACCTTTTCTGTTATTAATTAAAAATGTATAATTGTATAATTATATAGTGATAATAATTGAGTCAAAAACTTAGTACTTCTTGTTTCTGATGATGCATTAAAACAGAGAAGTAAACACCTTTGATTAACACTGCATAAACAATGTGTTACTTCCTACTTTGCCACAATCACAACTTTACTGCAAGGTGTCTGAACATTGTATTTTTAGTCTTAAAATATTTATATATTTCGAAGCTCAGCCACACATCACATAGAGACATGTCATTCCCTCATCTTTTTCCAGAAACTGAAAATGCCAACGTGCAATTATTTTTGTCAGTGCAGCTAAGATGGCTTTTCATTTCCTGAAGTGGAGCTTTTAATCAGAACCCTTTTAGTGCTCTCTACTTCAGTCAAGCAGTGTATGTCACTGTCCCCTCTCTGATTACTGAAAAGCCAAAAGGTAGTTTTACCCTGAAAATGAAGGACAGAAGGTTAAAAGATCTCTTCAATTAGGTAAATTTTTGGCTCACTCGTGTGTTTACTTTAAAAATCTTCTATCCAAAGATGCTTTTGGTTTGCTTTCAAAAACACGTTACCAAGATATTAAGAGTTATGCTCTTATTAAAGTTCTATGAGTCATATGTGGACAGTATTTGTAATAAAAGTAAAAATGGTTGCCAGCCATTTCAAGTTTGCTGCTATAGCTTTTACTTCTTAATCCATCACACAACACCAACATCTCTGTCAAGACTGCAGTTCTGCCTGTTTGTGTTTGTTAAGCTTAAATGTCCTGCTTAGTAAATGTGTTTAATTCTGTTCAGCTACCTGTGACAACAGAATAAATATTTTACTAGCTTTCAACCTCTATGCTTAATGGGCCTGAAACAAACTAAAATTCAGCATTGCATAGCACTCACTTGCTGTAAGTCGGAACCCTCAAGTCTTGCCCAATTACTATTTAAAACACCCACCTTTATCTCTTGACTTCTCAACCTGATAATTATATCAATTTAGAGCAAATAGGGCCTTTAACTGTGCTTAATTATAGGTTGTTTGAATCTGGCTGGTGTCAAACAAAAACGGGTCTTTGGGATTTAAAAATATTTCCTATGTTAATGTAGAGTCTCTGAATTCCTGTTTTTACACGGGCAACATTTCGCTCTCCCATAGGATCTTTATCTTCATCACTCTTGATCGTTGTTGTTATTTATGTGTCTCAGGTCAGTGTCTTCCCCCAAACATGTTGGGGGAGATCCATCTTCCTGCCGTGTGTCATAGCCCAGTTTCAAGAAAAACAGCTGTTCTAGTAGCCTCACTTTAACTCTCCCTGGGACAAATAAGAATATATATGTACCTCCTGTAATTAGCCTTAGCTATTGTTCCAGCATCGTCACTCCACTGAGACCCGTTCTACTTGGCAAGAAGCAAACAGCACAGATTACTCTTCTCTACAATATGTGGGTGTTTTTTTTTATTTCTAGCCTAGTCAGAAAGTTCATGTGTGCACACATGGATTTGTATCACATGATACATGAATGTTAAGATTTGTGTATGAAAGAGGTGCTTGAGTTTGTCCCTTGTCTGCAGAGATTCATATTTCAACACTTACACAACCTCAGCTGTTGCTTTGGCTTAGATTCTTCCTGCTTGACAGATATTTCTACCTGAAGAAGTCACCGGTCACACCGGATTTTAATCCTGTTATGTATAATACATGGTCCCATTTTTAGTCACATTCATTTAATCAGCCTAATTAAGTTGAGGCGTCCCTATTCTTAGTCTTAGTCTTCCTGTCTGCAGTCGAGTGTCCCAGGTGTTAGACTGGTATCAGATCCAGCCTCTACATACAGTGAATTTAGTTTTACTCTCTCTCCTGATAACATTGAGCCAACAGACCTCGAAGGCAGGAAAAGTTGTGGAGCTTGAAGTTGATTTGGATTTTATTGGACCCAGGTCCTCTATTGGTTTTGCTTAAGGGTCGGATTGTTTGCAATTGATTCTTCCAGTTGACTTCTCTGCGTTTGTGTAAGGAGAAAATGTACTTGCTGTTGTTGCTTTAAGCTTTATGTAAAAATGGGTATTGATCCATTCCAATAAGGTTTTATCGGCTCTAATTCCAATGATGTCTTTTAAGGATTCCAGATTTTTTTTCTTTGTTCTGTTTCTTAGTCTTTAAGTTTGTTTATCTCCAATTAAACAAGTTGAACATCACATCCACCTTTTGAGAGGAAAACAGATTCTGTGTAATCATACTTATTCTAGTCTGGAACACACAAAGAATAAAATAAGGCACACATACCGTAGACTCACAGCATGATATACACCGATCAGCAATAACCAAGGTGCCCAGGTGGTCATAATGTTATGCTACCACATACGCAACCAACTGTGATGCAGTCTGTGTTCTGACACCTTTCTATCAGAACCAGCATTAACTTTTTCAGTAATTTGAGCTTCAGTAGCTCGTCTGTTGGATCGAACCACACAGACCAGCCTTGGCTCCGCACGTGCATCAGCTAGCCATGACCCTGTCGCCGGTTCATCGCTTTTCCTTCCTTGGGCCACTTTTGATAGATACTGACCACTACAGACCACAAACACCCCACAAATGCTGCAGTTTTGAGGATGCTCTGACCCAGTCGTCTAGCCATCACAATTTGGCCCTTGTCAAAGTCACTCAGATCCTCACCCTGCCCATTCTTCCTGCTTCTAACACATCAACTNNNCCCACTGACAGGTGCCATAATAACGAGATAATCACTTCACCTGTCAGTGGTCATAATGTTATGGCTGATCAGTGTAAGATTCTAAATGATGATGGTCCTGATTTTTTTGTCTTCCAGTTTTGCTTGAATTGCTAGATAATATTAAGTGTGATATAATAACATCTGCAGCAAAACTGAACATTTTAAACTGTTGCATTATTTACACCCTTCTGCAACATTATGGAGGGTGTGATGTTGATTAAGTAGAGTATTAGTTAGCTGTATTGCGGGAACTTGTTCTGACTCAGGCCCAGATAGCACAGGAGAGGGATGTAATTACTCGAATAAGGGTGAATAATGAAACCTCATTATTTCTCTGATGTGATTATTGAGAGAAAGATACAGAAAGAAACTGCTTTTCCTCTCCCCAAAAGACAGATTAATACAGAACCCAGCTTAATAAATGGCTCTTGGTCCTTTGGTTGTTGCGTATTGATTTATGATTTCTTCTTCAAGTGAAATGTTTGTGCAGAGGTGTGCTTAGCAGGGCATGTATGAAATACTGTATGTCCATGAGATGGGTTTTAAAACAGCCTTGCATATATTTTCACATTCCCTTATCCATTTGTAATTAGTATCTCACATAACATATCGGGCTGGGGCATAGCTTTATCAATATTGTTTAAACAGGCAAAGACAAAAAAAATCCTGGCATTGATAAAACAAGAGTGCTTTCTAATTCAAGAATTGGAGATAATTAGTTATCAAAACATATTAGAATGTGTTTTATTTTAGTTGTGTGCATTTCTTTTGGTTGGTAGCTTTGTGTTTGTGTTAAATCAAGGCTAAAGGTTATAAAATGTAATTAGGATTTACCACAGCATGACTAATGTACAACATTAAATAGCTGGGTAAGAGCGATGGTGTTACTTTGTTAATTATTTTTGCTTTAGATGTGGGGGATGTAACATCATGCAATCTTTGATAGGCACTCCTCCCCCAATCAGCAGTCTGAGACATGCTGTTAAAAGAATATAAGCTAGGTTTTTCCCTGATGCCATGAATAAATGCAGGATAGAAAATCGGGGGTGTCAAATAGATGCAAGGCCATGCAGGTAATTGATGTTAATTCCCCAATTTTCACTTTCTGGTTATTCTTTCATGTGCAGAGTCTCCTTGTATAACTTCATGTTTAAATCCATTCACATCTTTCGAGAGTGGAATAAATGATTCTTTGCTGATGAACAAACACATCACAGTTCCATGTTGAGCTCTTCATGTAGTTGAGAAAAAACATTTGCCGAGCATTTGAGTTACACATAGAAAGTTTGCCACCTTTGCGTTGATTTGTGCTTAGTTTGAGCCAAAGGATGCTGCAGCCATGCAACTTCCAGGGAGAGCTGATGCATCTCTGAGAAATGCCCCCCTCCCAGACATTTGAGTGACTTTATGAGTGTGTTTGGCCATGTTTAGAGTGCCTGTATCTTCCCTCATCTTTGGAGCTGCAGCCAATCTGGGCATAACCCTGTCCTGACCGCTGCTTTGAACTTCTGCTCTGTGGCACTGCTGTCAGGGCAACATGCACTAGACTCAGACTCACAGACGCCAAGTGACAACCCTGTTGGAAGAAAAGAATAGAAGTTTCGACGTGGCTCCATGAGTTGGAAGGGGTTCATTTCAGTGTGACCGAGTAGCTATTGTCACATCAGACAGTTGATAATGCCTTTTATTTGGACCATTAACAGAGAATCTATTTAGCTAATGTACGCTTGAGAGGAAATCATCTATTTTACTACTGTATTTTGGATATTAAACTTATTGCTTTTTAGTAGTCATAATGTATTTTTGCAGATGGACTTGGTGAAAGAGCCGGCTGGAATACAAGACAGGCTATCATATCGGGTCCTTTAGTCCCTTTCCGTGATTCAATATATAACCACACCATTACTAATGCATAGCTAGGTGTTCATCACCACACACAATTTATCCACTCAATGCGAACCTGATGAAAAAATATAAAACAATTAATAATGCGGCCCTGGCTTCTAAAGCACAAATACATTTTGGTTTGCTCTAACTCCTCAAGTCTGCAACCTTGAAGAGCATAAGATTGTATTTAATAGCAGCAGCCATTATGAAGTAATCAATGGCATTGAGTGCATGCTTTCAAGTGCTCTCAGTTTTGGTCTTGCTGTTGGACAAAGAAGGTTTTCAAGAAAGCTTGGATTTTATTGTCTGTGTCATTTCAGGTTGCCCTCCATGCATGTGGCGTTGCAACAGACATGGTGATGGAGCACTGCATCCAGGCAGGAGCCACCTTTGTCATCAGTCCTTGTTGCTACGGCTTCATCCAAAACGCAATCAAGTTCACCTTCCCCAAGAGGTTTGTACCTGTTCGCTTCAGTCCAGTGTTACCTCTCAGGGGCTCTGCTTTTTAAAATGTTGTTTCTGACCTTGTTTTCTTGTTAGAGTCCTGCTAGCATTAGTGTTTCTCTTCTCTTACATTCTCTCATAGTGGTTTTTTCCTTTTCTCTTTTGGGGCTCTCGCTCTTCATCATTTTTACACTCATTGTCACTCTGTCTCACACACATGAACATGATCTATAGCTCACTGCTTTTTGTGCACCTAATGTCTCTTATCATCATGGCTGACAGTATGAGGCAGCAGTGTCACATCGCCTTCACAACAGGGTCCGCCCCTCTACTTTTCAATCTTAGCCCCGTTCTATCAGCAACAGAGAGTAGGGTTCTCTTTGTAGAGACTGTCTTGAATATCAAAGAATGACAACAAAATCCAATTGGAGGTACAAAGAATTGCTACTCTTGTTGAAATTACTTCATCAAACGTAGTATTACAGAGCAACTAAGCTAAGATATAAGCAAAAATGTTATGCTGTTTAAATTGAAATGCAAGAGACAAACAACAGCAGAGAAGGAATAGTGAGAGGCTTTACTTTAAAAGTGTTGACCGTGTTGCTATAGCAGCACTCTGTTGACTAATGACACTAATGTCTTAAGAATCATAATTAGGTAGTATTCCACTGAAACCACTTTAGGATACTTCAAAACAAAATGCTGTTGTTTAGGATTGCTGAGTACCATTCGCCTATCTAAGTGTGTAGGAGAAACTACAGTAGCAGCATAACCCACGAAAAACGTGAAAGGTCCTATCTAGAGGCAGTGTTTGGTTTGTCCGTCCTGAGCTACTGTAGAAACATGGTAGGGGACTACATGGAAGAGGACCCACTCCCTCTGTAGATAGAAACGGCTCATTTAAAGTTAACAAAAACACAACAATTCCTATATTCAGGTGATTATACACTAAGAAAACATATGATTTATGAATATTATATTCCATTTTTGTCAATAGAGCCTCCACGTTACACACTGGACCTTTAAGATGCTGCCACATTAACATAAGTATTGTGGAGGCTTTTAGTTTAAAAGTTCACATGTCTGGACCAGACCCAGTGAAAGGTGAAAGCACCTTCTCATTCCACATCATCACACAACAGCCCACAATCACAGCAGTGGTGGTTCACACTAGAGTAGCACAGTATCATCATGTCATAATTAGCAGTGGCACATGTCAGTAAAAATCGGTATAAGTCGGTGAAAAGGGAAATATGACAGCGGAACATGAGTGGCATAAGCCAACAGAAAGGGAGCTGCATAGCAAAAACTGACCTAGTTACCTCTCAGAATCTAGAAACGGTATGCCACAAGAACAAAATGACATACTATTAGCCCTTTTTCTTGGTGTTGCTGTTAGTTTAACTAATATTCAGGTTCTTTCAGAGCATGAAGCATAGATATTGTTGCTATGGTTGCCAAGACTTGAACGTAATTGTACTCTGATATAGAGCAGTAATGAAACTGTTCACTGTTACTATGCTTCAGGTGTTCTCATATGTGATTCATATTTCATTTAACACAAAATTATTTTTCCTTTTTTTTTGTGGCTATGGTATAACTGACCCTAAAATTGTGCCTTGGGGAGGACCATCAGTGTACAGTATAAATATTTAGGAGTTTTCACATACTTATTTTTCTCTCTTCACTTTTGCTAACTTGACACATCACCCCTCCTGACTCCTCATAAAATATTAAAGCATAACCAAAAAAAAAAAGACTTTGCAGCTGTAATGGACAACAAGAAGCTGTGTTTCTGGAGGGCTGTCCTGCAGTATATGTGAGGGGCCCATGCACCTGACTGTGTCAATCTTCATCTTGCTACTTTTAGTGTTTTCCCCTCAGGTCATGTTCCAGGTACTCATGTGGATATTCTGCAGGTGTAGACATTCCAGGCAGTTCACAGGTTTTTATGAGCTGTGGAACTGCCCATTTCATTAAGTCTCTAACAGTTAGAGTTAAACTTAAGACTTCTTTCCATGTGACCTTACTGGCCCTTAACCTCTGAAATTCTTCATGTTGATTTTTAATTAGCTTCAATGATGATCTGGCTAGGTTTAACCATCACCATCAACTGACTTAGTTCTCATGTGACAGCATAGAGAAAGTGGTTTATTTTAGAGACTGTGCGTGTTGTTTGTCTTATACTGAGCCTTAGATTTGGTTATACATGCATGTCCCTTGCTTGTAAAGTGGTTTTCCATGAAGTAGACTCTTTTCTCCGGGCCCGAGCAAGTAAATATATGCCATATAAGTGTTTTCTTTTCCACATCTTACTCACTGCACTTTAACATCAAAATATCTTCTTTTTTTGTTTTTACAGCAAAAGGTTCCAAGAGACTCTGACTTATAAGGTATGCTTTTAAATGTGATTAAATCCCTCTGTTCCATTTATTATTCATTTGCACTCAGGCAAATATCAAGTACAGCATACTGAATTACAACAACTCCCTTTTTTACAAGGACCGTGTTTCAGATTCAGTTCACTATGCACATCGAAAGACAGCTTCGTGGCTCATGACTAATTTTAAAACAGCATGTTCATTAGAGTCTTACATGTTCTGTTACAACATGAAAATGAAGTTTTTCTCCTCTATAAGATGTTGGTGCATGAACAGAAGTATAATGGCATCAGAGGCATTTAGTTTAAAAGTTATAGTTTCACATACCTGGACTGGAGTGCAGTGACCCGGTAAAAGGTGAAAGTGCTTTCACATACCACAACACCCAGCAAACATAGAAACCAGAAGACATTGAGACAAATGTTCAGACAAATGAGGAACAAATTGAGTACCCCTAGATTGAGTTGCAGTGGCTATTCATAAATCTGGTACATAAAAGCGCTTATTAAATACTAGCTATACTTTCAAACTAGTGATTTGATAAACTGTAGTGCTCATTAAAACTTTAATCAGAATCAGAATCAGAATCCAGAAATAAATCAGAAATAAAAATGTATCATCTAGAAAATACTTAATAGGTAAAAAAGGCAATCGAAATGTACTAATTGTAACATAACCTCCAACATAACAGTTTATGGAGAAACAATATATTAAACTTAACAGGGCTTTGTAAGCATAGACATGACTTAGTGTTAGTTATCCATGCATAAAAGGAGAAATGATTATGTGTCAGATTGAGAAATATCTGATTATGCTAGCTAACGTGACGTAACCTAACGACATTGCAAAAAGTTAATGGCATACATTTTTTTTAGATATATCATGTGTTGGGTCAGATCTACCATATTTATTTCTTTTACTTGTCATGGTAAATGGGTCGTATTAGATAAAGCAATCTAGCATGAGTCAGTTACACCTGGCAGTTAGTATGTGTAAATATTTAACAACAACTAATCTCTACATAATGTATTAATTTAGTGAAGCGTAAATCTCTGTTTAGTACTTAATCTACACTTATGTTATAACCAGGCTAAGATTGACGTTGCTAAGAGCTGGTGCGATTGTAATTTGGATGTACCAAAAATCTCCTAAAATGAAATATATATATTTTATTTGTTATTATTTTATGGGACAGTAAAATAAAACTAATGAAATCTCTTGGCTCTCGCATGTCTTGAGAACAAAGATTCCCCAGGCAGTTAGAAGAGGGAGGCTCACACCCTCCAGTCTCTCAATTCCTTATCGCTCAGCACAGACACAGCACTGTACTCTGGGAGGGCCCATCCCATGATGATGTATGGGACCTGTCAGTGCCCCTGGGGAGAATCTGTGCAAAAGTTGCTGCAGGTCCCAGCCATGGCAACCTCAAGAGTTGACATGTCACAACATCGGACCACCTCGAACTTCTTTTCTTTTGTGTTGTGCACTAGACACTTTTTTTTTTTTTTAGATCTGGCTTGAGAGGCACAGAAGATTATATATTATTTACAAGACAGTGGGCAATTGTACTGTTTTGTGATAGTGAGTTGTGATTTTTCTGTTGTTGTCCAAAAGCCCAGTGAGCAAAAAGCAATCACAATTGCCATCTGTCTGGAAATAAGAAGCTCAACATATAGCCACACAGCGGTGGAAATCTATATTCTATTTAAACCAGCAGTCACATTATCTACTACTTTTAACCTGCGCTCTAAATCACCACTGCTTCCCCCCATGGTTTTGCTTTCAACAACCATGTTTGGTATTTGCTATTCAATTGGGCTCAGCGAACAGAAACCATTTTTTCCTGTCTCTGCTCCCAAACACTTGCAGAAATAAAAGTTGCATTGAATTGTTTTAAAGCAGAACCATAGTTGTCCTTCCTGAACTACAGTAGTTAAACAGAATGACAACACACTGACAAATGGTGTATCGCTGGAATAAAGGGCTAATGATGTGAGATATTGGTGCTCAGCTCTAACTTAAAGCACCTGCTTCGTGGCCTTGCATTCAGCTCGACCCTGTGCAGTGACGAATGGAATCAATTTGAGCACTGTAGAAGCAGGTTAGAGATTACCAACTGCACTCCTGATTCACTTGTTCCATGAACCATAACAAGGTAAAAACAGCACAGAACCACTTGTCCTTCGGTTGGAAAACAAACCTCAGAATCTTAGAATCATATAATTTGGTTGACGTTTGTTTGTTTTTAAGGTATGTTTTACATCTGGTCAATTGGTCTGACATACTGTAAACATGTCTACAAATGTTCGACAAAAATAAATCAATCTGACTGATCACTGTTACTCAGTCCAGTAACACTGTAAAGAGACAACACACTTAAACAAGGCTAAGTGTCTATGAAAAGCCAGGGGTTCACTAAAGTTATTAAATTTGAATTAATTATTATTAAATTTGGTTACCAATTTGAAACAAATGTCTTAAGTTTTTTTGTCAAGATTTGTTTGCCTGAAGGAAAAGTGGGGATTACCAAAGTCAGAGGGATTTATCCTTTATGGAATATAAATGACTGTACAAAATATGGCAATATATCTGATTGGTGAGATATTTTGTTGTTGGCCAAAGTAGTGGACTGACCGACATTGCAATGCCGGCTAAAATAGGCATAAAAACTGTGGTTTGAGTTTCTGCATAGAATTTCCCATGTGATGGACTAGTGATCTGATGATAACTATTTCTGGTAAGGCTTTATTTGGATAGTCCGCCTACAGATTTTACAGAGTTTATAGAGTATTTGTAAGATTTCAACTGTTTCGCTTTGTCTGTAGTTGTTTAACAGATTATCTATCGATTATATGTGACAAATTATGAACATACCCTAATGTTTTTTGTGCCAAAACCTTACCTAACCTTAATCACACACACATAATATCAGAAAACGGTGTCCTTTGTAAAACAGTTAAATTGTTGAATCGTGTTGAATGTTGAAATGTTACAATTACTCAAGCCCACGCTCCACAACTGTTGATAGGCAGATATAGGAAAAACATGGGATAAATAGATAGATTGAACAATGCATAATAGAGTTAGATTCTCTGAATGGCTCATTACAATCTATCTTTAAATTTCTGATTGATCTGATCAATAACTTGAGGCTTGTTAAATATCATCCAGAGTTTTAGTGTAAGTATTCGTTACCCTTGAATAAACATTTACTGTACTCATCTTCTGTCCTTGTTTCAGGAACACATGATCCTCTGTCGCTTCGCAGACCAAACTGCTGTTCAGCTCCCTCCTGAGAGGCGACTCATAGGTACTTATTTACTTACTTGTTTAATCTTCTCTGTTTACATTACCTTTTTATATGTCTGACAATAGAAATGGATACTCTTTTGATATTTATTTTTCTTTGACTTTTGTATTGAAACTATGGAGACCAAGAAGTCACAAATAGATTTATCAGGCACATTTTTCCATAATGACTCCTGACCGATAATAAGTTTGACTTCTGTTTATCATGTAGTAGGTTTGTCACTGTGACCTAACCCCTCTGTGCCGGCCACGCTAGCTGATGGCGCTTTCCATTAAACCAGCTAAACACTCCCAAAATCTCCACAATAAAGCTGTTGATTTTCTTGAAGTGTATTGAGAATCTTGTGAAACTCAGCACAATACAGATGTAGTATTAGAATTACTAAACGATGAGCAGAGAATAGGTTACGGTAAGTATCTTGGCAATAGCATAGCGATACATGGCGATTTAGCTACTTCAGAATGTATGTAGACACAAAATAACCAAAATAAATGATAAATGCCAATATATGTTGACGGATGAACTATACTTACAGACGTCACTTTAGCTAGCAGACAGGTTAAGCGACTACAACAATGGATTTACTTGGTTAGTAGACGCTGGTTTATGTTAGTTAGTGAATAAGTAAATAAGAAACAAACTTGTACATAGATTACCACACAGTGGCGCTATTACACAGGATAAGGATAGGGGCAGAACACCCTCTGCTCTACTTTTTTGAAAGGTCTAGACTTTTGAGAAGTGTGAAAAATGTTAATGCTGGGATTTCTTCAATGTGACAAAACAGCTGCAGTGAACAGCTGCCAGATCAGTGTTGTCAGACTCAGAGGGAAGTGTTTTGTCAGACTGAAACCTCCAGGCCTGTGCTGAAGCTTCACTGTACAGTGTTTCATTATGTTGAGGACTCTCTTCACCCTGATAGCTCTCCAGCTTATCAAAGCTTCCCTCTGAATCCGAAGAGGCTCCCCAATGCCCCGTCAGTCTGAGGCCCTTTCATATGTACCTGACACTACCTGTCACAGAGGTTTCTGCTCTATATCAGTTAACACGGCTCAACCTCTTCCACTAACATTTTCTAACCATGTTTGATCTCATCTCTCCAGAGCCTGCCAGTGTGACTGTGACCGTGTAGGCAGCATGGCAGACCAAAGCTTGCATTTACTATGTCTGCCACCTGCTACCTACCTGTTAAACTGCATAATACATTTGAAGTCTGTTTTCAAAGTAAATCCTAAGAGAATAGCATGATAATCAATGCAAAGTTGTTGATGAATAAAAATCGCGTCCCTTGGGTATTGATACAAACGAATGTTAGGAACATACAGGAAACTGACAAAATAAAAACAGCACCTACAATATTCAAACTAATACAGGAGCACTACAACGAATGCTGCCTAATAGAGCCTTTCTGAATTGTTGATCTGTTGATATTCGCTTAGATACATGTATATCATAATCAGCCGCATACACAGATGGGTGACAAATTAAAGCCAGAACCGCTTTAGTGCTCCTTGACATCTGGAACACTACTGGAGGGATGAACCCTATTCTTCTAAAGGATTTCGCCTCATTTGGTGTTTGGATGATGGTGGTGACAAGTACTGTCTGTACTTGTTGTCTCCTATAGATGTTCATTTGGGTTGAGATCTGGTGACAGTAAAGGTCGTCGATTTGCATCATTTTCATTCTTATTAAACCATCCAGTGACCGCCCATGCCCTGTGGATGGGAATTTTGTGATCCTATTTCCTAAAAATATAGTCACTTAGATGTTTTGCTCTGTGGTTTTGATCTAGAATTAAAGTTAACTGGACCTGCACTGTATTTTTAAACATGTATCACGCAGTACAAGTTTTTCCTTTTAAAGGTCCAGTGTGTAACATTTAGGAGGACCTATTGGCAGAAATGGAATAAAATATTCATAGGCATGTTTTCATTAGTCATTAGCCATGTCGAACCACGATGTTTCTACTGTAGCCCAGAATGGAGAAACGCTGACTGTAGATAGGGCCTTTGACATTTTTTGCAGTTTCGAGGCCATCATAGTTTCTTCTACATGCTTTGAACAGGAGGGCAAGTTGAGGGTGTTTCAATCAGCTACACCGCTAAATACAACTAAATCCTTCATGCTGGACCTTTAATTTGTCACCTTACTATGTTGGCAGATATACTAAAGGAATTTGTAGTAGGGTTTTATAGGTTGCATTTTTATATATTTTACATGTAATAATATTAAACAGTAATATATCTAAATATATATTATCTGAATGTCAATTGTTAATATTTTTCACACTTGAATATCAGTATTGGATCGGCTTAAAAAATCTAATATTAGTTGGGCTTTACTTATTATGTTCTTCTAATCTATGGTACCTTTTGAGGCGTTTTGTCATTTTGGACTTCCTTACAGTGTAAAATAAAAGATGTTCCTGTTACTTTGTCCCTACCTAATTATAAACACATGAAATCAAATATAGAGAAAATGTCTCTTTCTTTAGTAAATGCTTAAAACTGGATTCATTTATGTTTGGATGATAACATTCATGTTTTTTTTCTGTTTGGACCACTCCAGGTAAACATTGTATGGGCCTGGTAGACTTGGACCGCTCGTGGGCAGCAGAGGCTCATGGGTACTCGGTGCAGGTAATGACTATGGAGCCTGAAAGCTGTTCGCCAAAGAACAACATGCTGGTGGGAAGACTGCAGCAAAAGAGTGGACTGGAAGCTGCTGCTAGCCAACTGGAAGCACCGGCGCATAATTAGGACCGCAAGCACCACTGTACAGCATCTTCAGTGTGGTTAGGGTTTGATAAAGTACCCAGCCTCTGTGGCTACTGTCGTAATGGTGCTCAGAATACTGTTTTTAATCTACCCTCAACATTTTCTTTGAATTTGTTTTTTACAAGCCCTTTTGTATGAAATGGCCTCGGAAAATAAAACAGTTGTTTATTATTTCTGGACTAGCAGAAGTCAACTTCTGAAATGTCTTTCAGACTGAAGGTAAAGGTAACCATGCAATGAATGACTGTGACAATAAACACATGGAAGGGTGCTTTCTGAGAACTACTCCCTTAGTTAAATGTGCTCAATTACTAAACACTTAGTTTTAGTAAAAGAGCTCAAGTCTCTCACCAACTGCTACGTTACATTTGTGTCTTTGCCTAAACTGTGTGATCAAGCTGTCAGCGTAAACAGAAGCAGCAGGAATTACACACCCACACTGCAAATTAAGTACGGCATACTTACACATGCTGTTTTTGCAAATAGTCTGTATACGGCCTTCTGTGATAGAACTCAGCAGTCCGCTCCACTCTGTTGCCAGGTATTAACAGAAGAAGGAGAAATTCAGTGCTGAAAACTCATCTGCGCTTAAAGACAAGATGGGGAATCATCATTACCTACTTTTCCTCCTTGTGTGTTTGTGGTAGACTATGAGAGAGAGGGGGATATTGAAAGAGAAATTGATCTAAACTCATAACACATCAGTTAAAATATAGAATTTGTCACGGTTCTAGAGAGAACTGATTATTCCTCATAAAGAATGAATGTGAATATGGTATGCATTCCGTAATACGTTCAGCAGCAATGAATATTTTATGATGCTGGCGAAAAGGTCAGTGTGCTTGATTAGATGCACACTGTTGGCAGCCTAGTAGCTGAATATCATGCAGTATGCTCCATATTTCCAATCCTTTATACTTTAGATACACTATAGCCCCCTTAAGCTTCCATTCCCCTAGGTGAAACTGGTTATCTGTTTCTCTGAAAAATCCTGTGTTGTCAATTTTGACAGTGTGCTGCGGCTACTTGGGGAATCTGGGGAGGTAGCCTGAGATCCAGTTTTCCTGCTCACACAGAGGGGATAGACGCAGGCAGTGCGGGCCTTTCCAGCATCGTGCTCATCTGAATTCACTCAGCAGAGTCAATCTATCCCGAGGTGAATGGCCACAGACACAGCTCCTTCCAAGGACTGGAATTATTTCAAAAGGAGATCTTTATGCTTGTAGCTCTGCACAAGTGCACATTACAAAAATGCATATAGGTACAATAGAGGAGAGAGTAGGTGGCACTACTTAAAGCTTGCATGAGACAGATAGGTGTGAGGTGTGAAGTTGGTTGATTCAACCCAAACAGCTGGGGCTGGAAGGTGAAAAGATTCTTTGTTTAGACAAAATATGTGAGACGTCTGAGCTGCTTTGTATGTCTCTGCTCAGTCTGTTTTGTTTTATGAATGATTAGCCTTGTGGGGTCTTTCTATAAGTACAACATAAAGTCAGTGATGCACTGAGGTGGATGCGTTCTTTTATTGTGTAATTAACAGAAACAGAAATCAGTAACAGGTTTATTGCCATGTAGGGTTTCACACCAAGTAATATCCACTGGTGAAAAATGTACATGCATGACATTTAATCAGAGATACACTTATGTATCCTTTCTATTAAACCAGGGGGCACTAACATGTAGGTTTTCAAAAGCAGCTCTGAACTGAACAATTTGTTGCAGCAGAAAACTTTTATTGTTTTACGAACTTCCGTTATACTTTTAATTAAAATTCATCTCGTCTTGGTAGCCTCCACTTCATTACACTGGTTGTGTTTATGGCCATTTACCTGCAACAGTTCGTTGCTCCATATCTGGGGTCCCTCGTCGTATGAATGTTTCGTTTTGGCGGGTACTTCATTTATGTGTTCACAGTTACCATAACAAGCACAGATATAAAGCACAATACCAGTTAAAATGGATACATAGGGCCACCATTTAACCTGCATTACCACAAGTGAAATGTGTTTAATTTTCACTTTATTTTTTTCACTTTACTTTATTTTTATTTTATATAAACAAACAACGTTGAGCGTAATTATAGAAGTTTCAAATAACAATCCATTTTAATACACGCATTTCCTGTTCGGTTGCCTACAGCAGATCTCGGCTGCTGTTATTTTGCACACCATAATAATCTTGTTTTCTGATTCCTGATGCTTCTCCTCCTACTGTCATATTATATATCCCCAATTTAGCAGTTCCCTGCTTATGTTCTATTTTTGAGTTTATTTACTTTGGTCTGCTGTAAGCATTGTCTGTTTAGAATGTAACATAATGACTCCCTTCTCCTGTGGGGTTCATTAAAGGATGTGTTCACCCAAATCACAGGAATACATTTGTCTTTCTTCATATTGCCCTGGCAGACGGCATATTGTGAGGATTTCGAAGAGGAACTGGAATTGTTTGATGTTTATTTTTCTGGTCCTTAATTCCTTTATCATTTCCTGGAAAGAAGTATGAAAGTTGGACTTATTATAGATCTATTACCGTAGATTCCAATGACTTAATTCAGATTAATTTCTAATGTGATCTAAGTAGTCTCTGCTCAGCACAGCAGGTCAGCTGAACATGCAAAACAAGCATACAAGTAAGAGATTATGTTTATTTTAATAAATAATTAATACATTTATATTTGAGTTTTAATTGAGCTGCTCTTTCAAGATACTTTCTAAGGAACTAAGTTTTAACTAAAGGAACTTTTTCTTAGAGATGAGCATCTTCAAACTGGACAAATAAAACTTTGCCTGGCTGACCCTTTAAAGTTTCCTCTGATTTCCCACAACATACCAATAGTGTGGGTAATTGAGGTTCTGCAAAAACACATAACTAATTTTCAAATGTAATAAATCATCATGGAATCAAATGTTTACAGTCCAGTCGTGAAAGTGACGTGATTAATAGTGTAATTACACACAACCGGCCCTTCTCCGATCACTTGCTTCTGGAGATGTCAAACCTCTCTGTACCACCGCATAGATTTATTGTCAGGTTGTTGACGGGGCGTAACAAGGCGCACAGTGCCACGTATCAGACAGACGGCGGTGACTGAACAACCAGCTGTAATCATATCAAACCTTCATCTCATTCATCTCCTCCTTCATTACTGGGCCCTTACTGGAGAATAATTTCATTGACTGACTTAAATTCTCGAGGCAGAGGGCTGTCACCTCAGAAAACGAGGCAGACGTTCATAATGCTGCCCCTAGACAGGAAGAGCCATTCACCAGACATTGGATATTAAGTGCTGCTTGTGACTCAGGCAGCAGATAATCACCCTAATAGAATGACACATAACCTCTTGTCGAAGAATAAGAATAATAACGACTTTGTGATTTCATGTTGAGCGCATCCAGTCTTCAAGAGGTGCAAAGTATGATGGGAAAATTGCATTCAAGAAAAGCAACTGATTGCGCCTTTTATTATTATTTATTTATTATTTTTACACAACAATCTAATATTAGGAAATATCTGACACAAAGCAGAACTGAATCTGTCTGTAGTTTGGAATCATTATTAAAAAAAACATTTCAATCAAAAACTAAGTCACTTGTGTTTTTATTTACAATAATTACAGCTCCAACAAAAGCCTTTCTGTTTACTCGAGTAGTGCTCAAGCTGTCAAACCGCTCATTTTGTATGTTGTGCGGCTTATTTTTTTGTCCTCTCCAAATTCAGCCCCAGTAATTTTCGCTGCATCGTGTGAACAGCGTGAGTACCGTCTACCTGGGTGGGCGATGCACCTGCGTGCCTCAGCAGGCTACGCAATTAATTAAGGCATTTCCAAAAGCATGCGCGGCACGGAGCTGCATCTGGAGCCTCTTCCTCCTCTCGGCTGTGCGGGGCACGGCGTTATATTAAAAGTCTGGCAGGATATCCGCGGTGTTTTTGGCCGCTGTTTATTGGAAAGACGGGGAGATAAGGTCTGACTGCAGTGAGGGCTGTTGGTTGGAGAGCCCGCTGACTGAACTTGTGAGGAGAGGAGAGAGGGGGAGCTGTGCGCTCTCTTCCCGGCAGAGTGCGTCCCGCTCCACACACACACACACACACACGCATACACACAGACACACATCGGGGTTACTCTACTCCCAGACAGCGGACTGCTTTTACTCTCGCGCCTCCTGAATATCGCACATGAGCACTGCGAAGGACGCCGGCAGACCCTGTTCTACCTACCTGTGCGCCTTCAGCGTGCGTCAAAGAAACTCTTCTGTTTACGTCTAATTGTTTCCTCCGCGGTTTCCTACCCAGTGCTTTTGGATTACGGAGAATAACAGGCAGCGTGCAACTCCCGAAATCATGGATTTATGGATAAAGTTGATGTTATTGTACAGCTGCTGCTTTGGGGCAAGCGCAGACTTTGATGGCAGGTAAGGGCACATGGTTCACATTGTCTGCCAAAGCCGATGTTTTTGTGAAATAACACTGATTTTTGAGCCTGCAGTTTGATCATCACACTTCAAGTCCGTTTGCAGGCTGTTTCTGTAAGAAAACCAAAAACAAATTGCGCCTTTGGTTAAAGATAGCACTTTTTGGGATGGAGTGGATGCAAACTGAGGCATTATTGTAGGATCTCCAAACTGCGAAGCTGAATTAAGATGCGAATGAAAACATGTTGCTTTTGTGAAATGTTGTGCGCTCGAATGCACTGTGATTCTTGGCATCTCCGCTTTATCCCTTGCAGTCTATTATCCTAACTTTTATTTGGACGAAAACAGTAATAATCCAAGTGCACCCATACCAGTATGTTGTGCGCCTCGGAGCACACATTCTGTTATAGCAGAAGCGGTGTTTACACGTTCAAAAACACACAGTACGGCTCTTCTCCTGTGCAGGTATCAGGCTGATTATAAAGTGATGTGACAGCACACCCGGTGCTTCATGTTCAAACACGAATTGGATGAAGTATGCAAAGACAGGTGTGGAGACGTGCCAGACCCCAAAGAATGCATGTGTCCGAGATTTTGATCTGCATAATAGCTGCATCTGAGTTGGTGAACATGATGAATGATGCCAGCTTTTTTATTTTATTATTTTAACAACCATGCATAATAAGCCAGCCAAGTTGTAATTTAGGTGTAACAAGTATTTAAAGACATGTTTCCAAATTGTCTGTGATGAAGTCATTTTATCAATCATGTTCATTGGCACAATGCTCACTTCACTTTCTGGGCTGGGACTGATTGTTAAGAGGACTTACAGTTAAATGAGATGTGGAAAATCGACTTTATTCCATCTCCTATTTCGGGTCATATTGCGTTAGATTTCTAGAGCTCAGAGTAAAACTGGACTGAAGTCCATCCAAACAGTGAGAGAGTTACACAAACATAGCTCTTCTGCCAAATTTCCTACATCTAGAGAGTGCAGCAAAGTATTGTACTTTTCCCCATGTATCTCTGCCAGACAGACTGAGCCCCTAAATCAGGATCCTTTCTCATGTTCCACACTTTCAAATGAATGAAAAACTATTGAGGATTATTTGAGGTAACCGTTATTGAAATAGTATGCATGCATTTCAAAAAGCCCTTACAGACTGACTGCCATTCCACCTGCTTGTTGATAGATTTTGACATCTGGAGGTATATTGCCCTTTGTTCCCCCCTCCTTAGCTCTTTCAATTCAGCTTTATGCCGTGCTCAAAAGTATTTCAAAAGTAGGAGATTTGGATATCAAAGGTTTGAGCAAAGGACTTAATGTGTGTCTGTGCGAGAGAGAGAGAATGAAGGAGAGGGCAGAGATATTACAAAAAATCTAAGATGAACATTTGCAAGCACATATATTATTGTTATTTGGGACTTTTTTTCTTAATCACCATGGCTAATGTTTGTGTGACAGGTTGTGGTATGATGAGTAGGGCTTTAACTTTTATTTCACGCATCGCCTTTGTGTAATGATCATTTACTTGAACCTAGCAGCAGCATATTGTACATTATTAACATCCCTGCTGATGGAGTGGCTTGTCACCCTGGCCATAATTTGCCAATTTTTATGGGTATAAACTTGCCCGGGCCTGAGTCTCCGCTTCAATATTAATTCATTGAGAGAATATCCCCTGAGACCGAGCACAAGCAAAAAAGCCATTTATTACCTAGTCTCCCTCACTTATTGCCTTTTAGAAAGCGTTCCTAACAGGCTTATCCATCTAGTCCTGAAGGGTCCTTCACGGGCATCATTGGCAAGATCATTTTGTTCTCCCGTAGCTGCACATAATATGCTTACCCGCAAATCTGTGGCTAAAAACGTTGCTTTTGTTTTCGCCACTTTTTTTTATTCCAACCAAGGACTCAAGGACAGCCGGGTTCCTGTCATGTAGCAGAGAAGATGTTTGCCAAAATAAAAAGCAACACATACATAGAGGGTATTCTTTCCTAGTGATGTCATTAAATTGTTAAGTAGAACTCAGGCAAGTAGCGCATACCAGACCTGCTAAGTAATAATCCAAAGACGTGGACTGGTGCCAGGTTATGTTGGCGTTGTAATATCAGACCCACATTTGGGCTTTCAGGGGTTGAGAGGGAGTGAGAAAACATTGTCAAAGACACATTTTATGGGTAGCCCAACAAAAATAATACATTTATAGTTTTCTTAGTGTTCAATATCCAGTGTATGTCAATGTTGTGATGAAAGATGTACCGACATCTCTATTATGAGTTATAGAGAAGATTTAAAGTGTAACCTGAACATTAAGTTCAAACAGTTCAGTTCTTGAGAAGCATGCATTCAAGTACTGTACCTCACTAAACAAGGATCTATTGGCAGGAATGGAATATCCATAGGTATGTTTTCATTAGTGTATAATTACCTGAATGTAGGAATCGTTGTGTTTTTGCTACCTTAGAATGAACCATTTATATCTAGATGCTGTGGGTCGCCTTCCATGGAGGCCCCCATATTAAACCATCATGTTTCTACAGTAGCCCAGAAGGGACAAACAAAACACTGGCTATATATAGGAGTATTTTTTTGCACATTCCATGGCCACTGTTGTTTCTCCTTCGCGCTTGGAAGGGGAGGGTGAAGCGTCAGAGTTGCGATCTGGAACTACATCGCTAGATGCCACTAAATCCTACACGCTGGTCCATTAAGTTTACTAAATTGTCCCACTGGAAAACTCCGGATACAGCATTTCTGTTTATGACTAACATAACTGCTCCCCCTTACTTGCTTTGTTGTCATGTTTTCTAAACCAACAGGACAGTTCGGGAGTAAGTGGAAATCAATTTATGTTGTATTGAACAAAGTGCTACAAGGACAATAAAATCAATCAGATGTTGCTGAATGTTGATGTAGACTACTCAGTCATATAAGTCTGTCAGTGAAGTATCTAGGTGCAGTAGAAGTATACTGGCATAGGTACTGCCATGTTGTCCTGTCCTTTATACAAAAAAAGATAGAGAATAGCAACAGTTCTAGCAAGGTCAGCGTCCCATTTTGCTTGTTGGCAGAGTCTGCTGTACAATACACTCTGTGACCAGACACCTGTGCATTTTAACATTGTAATGCAACTGAACAGTTCTGTAATAAACATCAGATTTGTGATTTAATCTCAACTGTTCATAATACTGTGTCAGAGTTAATTCTGTGGTCATTTGTAAGGCACTGGCCGATGGTGTTGTATCCTGCAGTGGTGAAATGAAGCCACAACTGCAGTCAGGACAACAGAGTTGCTGCCCAGCTTTTGGTGCAGAAAACTCACCTTTTCAGGCCACATCCTGACATGCCATGCTACAAATGTGTCATTCCCTTTAAAATAAAATGTCCTTGTATTGCTGCATTGAACATGCTCTTAGCTGGCTTCACTTACAAACATATACCTCCTGTTCCTATAGAGATTGAAGGCACTTATTGCAAGTCACTAAAATGTCTGCCAAACCAATGTAACACAATGTTAAAAAAAAGGTAATGTATTTCATTGCAGCATATTATAAGGTGTTTCCAAAATGTTTCCTTTCAATAAGGTGCTCTATAGAAGTGCATCTTAATACTGCCTGAAAAGTGCCACAAACCAATTTTAGTGGTGTTTATTGCAGGGCTATTGTGTTGCATTGCATTACATCATACAGGTGTTTTTATTTTTCTGGCCACTCAGTGAATACCTTCCACTTTGTATAAAAAAAGGTATTTAGATTTAATAGGCCGATTTGATTTCTAATTTTAAATCTTTACCTAAGATATTTGTCAATATCTCACATGGTGCTGCGCGTTAATGTGATAGTCTTGGCAGTCTACGTGCTGCTGAGGTGGTTCATTAAGACTCCAGACACCTTATGACTCCACACGCTCATGCTCTCAGCTGAGCTTGGCAGGTTCGAGCAAGTCCTTCACGCCAAGATGCTACGAATGCAGCAATCAACAACTATGTGTGTTTGTCAGTCACACTTTGCATGCTTCAGTATGGATTCATGGATGGATGATAGATAGATAGATTCAATTATTATGGCTCTGACTGAGGACTATACCTTCATGGTGCTGATTACACACTCTGCTCCTCTGTGAGCGATGGACTGACTACTCCTCATTGTCAGGCAGGGGAAATCGGCCAGTTCCGTACCCATTAGTAAAACAATGGAAGAACGATGGCGTTCCCATAGCGGGTATCAACCGCTCAGGTTCTGCTGGAAGAACCTTGTCTGATAACCCATGCTTGAGGAGAGGTGTCACACGGCATGCGTGAAGGGTAATAATTATCTGCTTGGGTTCCTTCAAGGCTTAGTGCAATTTAGGATCATTATTCAAAGCCTCAGGGTAATAAATACAGGTATTATGCTCACGTCCATTTGATATGCCAGCTTTCTGTTCATTAGAATATCACTGGGGACAAGATGTATCTCAAAAACTGCTCTTCCTCTTTGTGCAGTGTCACCCTTGCTTCCATTGTTGACTGTCATTCATTGTAATTTTCAAAACGTTCATAAATGTTGTAAGAAATTAGGAATATGCGTTTGACATTGTTGCAGTGTTGATGTGGTAAAACGGTGAGCTGATGAATTTTATTAAATCCTCAGTTTCAAGTTCAGAGTGTGTTGCTGTGCACAACTGCCGCTGGCCAAATACAGCATGAAGAGAGGACTGAGAGGAGCGCTGACAACATGAAACGTGATTCCATGTTCACTATGTGTGTGTATTTATAAATTAGTGTGTAGGAGAACGCATTAGAGGAAAATATTTGATTCAGTAATTCAGGACCTGTAGGTCCGTGTCTCCTTATCACTCTCACTGTACCAAACAGACCTCCCAGACACCCCTCGCCCACCATCCACTGGGAGCCTGTAGGAGTTCAAACTCTGCACCTTTGGTCATAGTCTTCATAACATCATGTGTACAGAGCCAAATGTCATGCCCCTCTGATCCTGACATGTTAAGAAAACTTGAAATAATATATATATATATATATTTTTTTTTTTTTGTTATGTGAAATATATTAGCTCTACCACATTATCATTTCCTGCTGAAAAATGGAAAAACATCTAAAATCCTAATTTTGCAGATAGACCATTTACTTTTTATTGGTTCCATCTGGGGTTTTTATTAACTTTTTCCTCATCTGCTGTTTCCATTTTGTTAATAATCTTACATTTACTTGATCTTGGATATCCATCTCAAGGAATAGGGCGGCAACAAATGGTTATTTTCATTAATCAACCTGCCCCCTATTTTCTGGATTTAACACTTTGGTCTAAAATATCTTCAGATAGCTTGTTTTGTTGGGCCCACAGTCCAAAACCCGAAGATATTCAATTTACTATCACAGAGGACCAAGAAAACTAAACATTCAGCAAATATGATAAAAAGTGACTTAAATACTAATATAAAGAAAGTTGAGGATTATTTTTCTATTGATCAGCCAACTGATTAATTAACAGTGTAATGAACAAAACAATACAAACAACAAAGGAGGACACTTCTATCACATAACAAAGTCAGACAAGATGATTTGCTAGTGATATGAAGTTAAAGCTAATTACACTGTTCTCAAAACAACATCTGGTAACACTGTTAGATGTGATTTTCAAAGCAACTCATCGTAACATGAAAGTAACTTATGGCAACATGAAGACTTCCAAAGAGGCTGGAAAAGAAGAGCTGTCAGAGTTAACTGCATCAGTCCACCAAATGAAGATTTACACCACTACATTTCCACCAGAGTTTCTGGTATTATTGGCAATTTGAAAATAGTTGTTATTCAAGGCCATCACAGCACAATGAGTTTGTAAAGAAGACAAAACCTGGACTTATGTAGAACAACCTCTGGCAGAAGTCAAAATGTTTTATGGGCATTTCTACTGGGAGTCATTATAGGTGCAATGATTACTTTTTAATGTCATATAACCGAGAAAGGAACACAAGACCATTAGGTTATACAGGAGCAGGTGCAAACACATGATGCCTCCATATTCAAAGATGATAATTACCGTATGCACACTGATGAATACATTCAAGAACAGTGCAAACTGTGCAAGAACATCAGGATGAAACATCTTCCAGTCACCAGATTTAAATATCACTGAAATGATATGGGAGATGTCAGATGTTTCTTTAAAGCTGTCGCCATCCTCCAAATGAAGCGATTTTTGCCACAGGCAGGGATTTTCTTTTTTTTCATTTAACAAGTTTACTGTGTAGAGGGTCAGCAGGTGCCATGTTTGTGCATGTGTGTGTGTGGCTGCATGTCACGTGTTCTTTCCTCTCCTCTCCTCTCCTCTCTTCTCCTCTCCTCTCCTCTCTTACTGTGTGCTTGGAGTTTCTCCCTGCCTGACTGCCTTCCTGCTTGCCAGGCAGCAGACAAACATTTTCCCTGGATCTGCCACTCTCACTTAGCATCCATCTGGGTTTTTTTTCCAATGAGGTGATTGGCAGCGGGGGCAAGCATTAGCATTTCCTCATCTTGGCATAGAGACACTAACAGGCAAGGATAGTGGCAAAGGATGTGCCTTGAATACTGAGCAACAGCCTCACTCTTTCAGTGAGGCACAAAAGAAAGCATCTTTTGTATAAAGGAAGTATATCAAGAGGGTTTCTTCTTTGTTTTGTAACTGGATTACAGTGTTTCCAGCTCATCTGCAGAACTTTAAACCTGCATAGTCAGTTAAGGTCATTCAGTTTTCATATTTTTGATTTATTCCATGATCTTTGCAAAACTTTAATGTGCTCAAGACCTCTTATAATGATAACAAAAGTGCAGTCTCAGTGCTAGTAGTGGAAGTTTT